AGATGCCATTACATTTATTGTCCCTAGACCTCATAGGAAAATCCCTACCCTTACGATACCTTATTTAAGTAACTTTAAATTATGCCGTTACTTTTCATATTTGCACTAAAATATTTCCAGGCTGCATTTGTATATTTAGATTTTTTTGGTTAAGCTTTGACACTGGAATGAGTTGAAAAAATGTGCCAATTTGCATTTTCATCTACTCATTTAAAGTATTTTATTCTTATTCAAAGAAATATCTGAGCTCTTTGCACTACCTGTTATCAGTAGTGCCTTTATTTCAGGCTTGATAATACTTCGGTGTGATTATAAAATCATGAAGCAGGTAAAGAGAGGGAAAACCCCCAAACTGCTGTGGGGACATTTTATAATCTATATGCTGCACCCACTTACTCTACTGTGGTGTTTGGTTCATTAGTTTTGCATAATTTCGGCTTCTATATATTATATGTATATATTTTTTAAAAATCTCTATTTTGGGAAAAAACATACACAATGTGTCTTTCTTTTCGGATATTTACCTTTATGAAAAAGGAAACACTTAAAATGATCATTAGGACATAACAGACTAGGCCAGAAATAACATCACGTGGTTTTGCAACTATTTTCATTTGTTTTCCTTTTATTTCTTTACTATATTTAAATAACTGGAGGAATTTTCTCCAATTTTTTTTTTCTTTCTCTAGCAGGTATCCCCAGCAGTCAGTTAACAATAGCCACTATAAAACGCCTAAATTAACCAATCTACAATCTTCCTTTACAAGTTTTTTTTCTGCTTTTAGATGAATGTACGATGAGAAATTCAACATTAATAATTTTGGATTTTCTTATCACAAAATAGAAAATGAAGGACCTCAAAGCACCAGAACAGTTTATCAACCAGTTTGAATCTATTTATCTTCATTTGAATGTCTTCTAGAATATGTAAGAAGTAATAAAATGTATCTTCCATGCTACATGTACAATAAGAACTTCTATAATTGTATATATGCCTTTGATGTATTTTCCCCTCAAGATTATCAACTGTGTGTTTGACAGTGAATATTAAATCTGTTATGAGTTGAAATTTTTGATTATAAATGTAATACAAATTGTTTCACAAACAGAAAACATGTAAAGCAGTATTAAAATCTGGCCAAACAAGTGTTCTGTATCTACTTTAATAAATGCTTATTCTTTTTTGTTTTGTTGGTTTTATTTTGTTTTAGACAGGGTCTCTGTCATTGAGGCTGGAATACAGTGGCACAAACATAGGTTGCTGCAGCCTCCAACTCCTTGGCTCAAGCAGTCCTCTCACCTCAGCCTCCAAAGTAGCTACGACTACAGACAAGTGCCAACACACCTGGCTAATTTTTTAATTTTTTGTATAGAGTGAGTCTCCCTATGTTGCCAGAGCTGGTTTTGAACTCCTGAGCTCAAGGCCGGGCGTAGTGGCTCATGCCTATAATCCAAGCACTTTGGAGGCCAAGGCGGGCGGATCACCTGAGGTCGGGAATTCAAGACCAGCCTGACCAACATGGTGAAACCCTGTCTTAAAAAGAAAAAAAAGAAAAAAATGAACTCCTGAGCTCAAGTGATCCTCCCACCTCAGCCTCCCAAAGTGTTCAGAGTACAGGTGTGAGCTGCCATACCCAGCCAATAAATGGTTATTCTTTTTTGCTAGTGGTAGTAAATTGATATTATTCTCAGGTCTGTCAAATGAGCAAGCCCTATACATCCATACAGCAATTTCTACTGCAGTCTTGTTACTAAACGACTTTTAAGAAATTAGTGGCTGGGCATCAGTGGCTCATTCCTGTAATCCCAACACTTTGTAAGGCTGAGGTGGGAGGATCACATGAGCCCAGGAGTTAGTTTAAGACTAATCCAGGCAATATGAGATCTCATCTCTCCAAAAAAAAAAAAAAAAATAGCCAAGGATGGTGACACAAATCTGTAGTCCCAGCTACTGAGGAAGTTGAGGCAGGAGAATTGCTTGAGCCCAGGAGATGGAGGCTGCAGTGAGCAATGATTGTGCCACTGCACTCCTAGGCAACAGAGTAAGACACAGTCTCTTAAAAATTTTTGTGGTATGTCTTTCTGTTCTTCTTAAAGTGTTTCGTGAGATATTTAGCATAATGTATCTATGGTTATCCATTACTATATCACGCTGCATTACCTGACAAAAAAATAAATGTGTCACCATTGGTGCTAACTGTCTATTCATCCATGAAGTCTTAGAAACTGAAAAGTCAATATGACATTTACAAAAATTATTACTGAACCAACCGAGTGCTAGGCCTTTGAACATGCTTTTCTTGTTTTGAGGCAAGGTCTCACTGTCACTCAGGTTGGAGTGCGGTTGTACAATCTCGGCTCACTGCAACCTCTGCCTCCAGTGCTCAAGTGATCCTTCCACCTCACCCTACTGAATGGCTGGGACCACAGGCGCATGCCACCACGCCTGGCTAATTTTATTGTTTTATTTTCTTTGAAACAGAGTTTCACTCTGTCGCCAGGGTGGAGTGCAGTGGTGCCATCTTGGTTCACTCCAACCTCTGCCTCGCAGGTTCAAGCAATTCTCCTGCCTCAGCCTCCCAAGTAGCTAAGACTACGGGCGTGTGCCACCACACCCAGCTAATTTTTGTATTTTTAGTAGAGATGGGGTTTCACCATGTTGGCCAGATTAGTCTCGAACTCTGACCTTAGGTGATCTGTCCACCTCAGCTTCCCAAAGTGCTGGGATTACAGGCATATGCCGCTGTACTAGCTAATTTTTGTATATTTGGTAGAGACGGGGTTTTGCTTCGTTGACCAGGCTCAAACTCCTGAGTTCAAGCGATCTGCCCATGATGGCCTCCCAAAGTGCTGGGATTACAGGCGTGAGCCACCATACCTCACCTAACATCCATTTCATGAATACAGATTCCCTCACAGGTAGGTATTTCCAAAGCAGTTACTTCTTGAATATTACTTCTAGGCCAGGTGCGGTGGCTCATGCCTGTAATCCCAGCACTTTGGGAGACCGAGGCGGGTGGATCATGAGGTCAAGCGATCGAGACCATCCTGGCCAACATGGTGAAACTCTGTCTCTACTAAAAATACAGAAAAATTAGCTGGGCGTGGTGGCACGTGCCTGTGGTCCCGGCTACTTGGGAGGCTGAGGTGGAAGAATCGCTCGAACCCAGGAGGCAGAGGTTGCAGTGAGCCGAGATTGCACCACTGCACTCCAGCCTGGCGACAGAGCAAGACTCTGTCTAAAAAAAAAAGAATATTACTTCTACCTAAATAATATGCTAATACACAGTAGTTCTCAACTTTGGTACTGACCTTAGGTGACTAAAAGACTCTAAACAAGTCTGCAGTATTTGTAGGGGAACTATAGTAGTTCAGCAATGTCTCTCCTGGTCTATAAAAGCACCTGCTGTTACTTAACCATTTTCTAGCATCCTGCTTCTGCTTAGGGATAGTTTATCATCCTCTTAGGTTCTACACTCATGCATGTTTGAGATTTCACTAACCTGGGGCATTTCACTTCTTACAGTAAGTTATACCCTCATTTAACAGCTCATAACATGACCTGCTGAACACAACATTTATTCCCACAGGTGTTAAAATGATGCATTCTCTTGGCTATGAATCTGTAAATAGAAAAAAAAAAATGTATTATCAGCCAGGAGCAGTAGAGGTATCTGTAGTCCCAGTTACTCCGGAGGCTGAGGCCATATGATAGCTGGAACCCAAGAGTTTGAGCCCAGCCTGGGCAACATAGGAAAACCCCATCTCTAATTATTATTTTTTAAATTCTCAGTTGAGGCCGGAGAACCACCTTGAAAACCAGGTTGAGAACTAACGCATGGAAGCGTTTCCATGTGTGTTAAAGTGTTAAAATAGAAATGTCCTTGTTGGAATAAGATTGAGAACAGAAGTTCTGGTTGAGTGGCTGCTTTTCTGCACCATCCACAAATACCACTTTTTGCTTGTTCAGACTCTGTGGTAAGTGCTTCATAACGTAAAGTGTATAGAAGATTCTGAAGGAAGTTATGCATTCGAAGAAGAAAAATTTCATCTTTGACCAGATCCCCAAAGCCCATTTCCACCCCAAAGCATCTAAAAGCGTATGTCCTACTAATAGAAGCTTATTAAGCAATTAAGTTCCAGGCACCAGCTAAGCTTCTCACGTGGACTACGTGATGTAATTCATACCTTCTTTGATCCTCACTACAACTCACAGGTAACATGGAATTTTACTGAGGCAAGTGATGGGACCTGGATTTCAGAAGCAATACTATTTGTGTGAAATGCCACGTCGCTGTAAAAGTCTGTTAGGAAGGGATTACAAAAAAAGAGTCCACTCAAAATTCCCTCGATCCCTATATTCATACATTTTAGCTCACAAAACAGTCTCCATTAGTGCAAAGCTAAGAACCTTGTGACTACTATAATTTAAAAGATTTGAGCAGTGGGTGGCGGTGCGCACCTGTGGTCTCAGCTATTCCGGCGCCTGAGGTGGGAGGGTCACTTGAGCCAGAGAGGTGGAGGCTGCAGTGAGCTATGATTACGTCACTGCACTCCAGCCTTTCTCAAAAAAATGTCTTTTTCTATCCAAGTTTAGCCTTAAGATATCATTTTACAGCAAGCACCTTTGCTGAAAATAAAAATTCGCGATTTTTAAAAGAGACTAGAGAGTGTCCGTTTTTTTTTGATACGAAGTCTGCCCAGGCTGGTCTCGAACTCCCGGCCTCAAGCGATTACTCCTACCTCGGCTTCTTAAAGTGTTAGGGATTACAGGCGTGAGCCACCGCGCCCAGGCTGAGTCCACATCTTTAAAATCGCTTTTCAGCGCCAGACAACTCCTGGAGTGAGGCAGGGTCTGAAACGCGCCTTGAGTCTTAGCAGAAGTCTGAACAGCTACCGGGGTAGAAAAAGCGGTGGACACTAGGGCCACACGAGATAGAAGCCGAACCCGGCGATCCCAGTTTCCGGGTTGGCGTGCGCAGCCGCACAGGTCACGTGGACGCGTTGTCACGTGACTGCGTCCATGGCCCTCCCGTTGGAACCAGTGGACGTGGTGGACACTGTGGGGTAGGGGGTGTTGGGGCAAGATGGCGGCGCACCTATCTTACGGGCGAGTGAACCTGAACGTGCTGCGCGAGGCGGTGCGTCGCGAGCTTCGCGAGTTCCTGGACAAGTGCGCGGGAAGCAAGGTGAGGGGCGGGAGGCAGCAACACCGCCCTCGCCTCCCCTGGTCCGGCCTGCCTTAATCCGTTCTCTGACCGCCTGAGATCGCGGTGTACGAGGTCCCAGGGGTTTTCCAGGAGGCGAACCTCAAGGCCTTTCTACCCGCACCCCTGTGCAGGCGTTAACGATGAAGTGGGGGGGCCCTGGGCGAACAGCCTGGAGCCGGAGTGGCTTCCAGATTGTTTTGTGAGAGCAGAGTAAGCCACCGTGATATCCTGGCTCCTGATAAGCCGGTTTACGTCAGGTGCCTCTTCTGCTGCCTGCCGAGGCGCGGGACGGGTGGGCGGCCCAAGAATGTGGATGGTCAAGTGTCCATTCATTACAGGGATCATACGTGTCAGTACAAATCGTACGTTAGAAAGTCTCTTGAAACACCAACACCTTACAACCTGCTGTTCATGCCTGTTGGGAGAGAAGTTGTAATCATTTGGGCTTTTAAACCGGCCTCCTAAAATAGTATTACTTCTCTAGTAGCACCCTTTTCATAAGGGAGTCAGGAACTAGATAAGAGATTTTATAGAATTTTTTTTTTTTTGAGACAGAGTCTTGTTCTGTCCGCCAGGCGCCAGGCTGGAGTGCAGTGGCGGATTCTTGGCTCACTGCAACCTCCGCCTCCTGGGTTCAAGCAGTTCTCCTGCCTCAGCCTCCCTAGTAGCTGGGACTACAGGTGCACGCCACCACGCCCAGCTAATTTTTGTATTTTTTAGTAGAGACGGGATTTCACCACGTTGGCCAGGATGGCCTCGATCTCTTGACCTCCTGATCCGGCCACCTTGGCCTCCCAAAGTGCTGGGATTACAGGCGTGAGCCACCGGACCCGGCCAGGATTCCTTTTAAATGATACCACCTCTTCCTTATCCCCTTAGGGTTAATCAGTCACCCTAAGTAACTGACAGTACAACTGTGAAAGGTCCAACTGGGGAGCCTCATTTTTGGAGAGAGCAGAACCCCAAGAAGTAGAGAGGGTGCTAGCAGCCTTTGAGAGAAGAAAGCAGGCTAAATCATAGGGGTCCAGTTTCAGTTCAGCAAAGGATGCTGAAATCTGAATAAACTCATGGATTGTATCAATGTCAATATCCTGGTTGTAATATGCTACCCCTGGAGGAAACTGAGCAAAGAGTACAGGGGCTCGCTCTGTATTATTTCTTTTAACTAAATGTTAATGTACAATTATTTAAATAAATATTTCAATTTAAGAAAAAGAAATGATACTGGAGTTTAGTAGTAGAAATACTCATAGGGGCCCACAGCAATGACTCGGGGTGTCAAAAAGTTTTAGGTTGGAGTCCTTTCTCCCTTACACACCGTGTAGTTCAAGATCTCTATATGGCCTCGGAAAGTACTTAAACTTAATGAGCTTTCAAGAATTTTCTCTTTTGGCCTGGCATGGTGGAAGAGGAAGTGCAGTGTAATCACAGCACTTTGGGAGGCCATGGCAGGCAGATAGATCGCTTGAGCCCAGAGTTGGAAACCAGCCTGGGCAACACGGCAAAATCTCATCTCTACTAAAAAAAAAAATTAGCCTGGTGTGATGGCACACACTTGTAATCCCAGTTACTCTCACCTAAGCCTGGGAAATCGAGGCTGCAGTGAGCGGTGATTCTACCACTGCCCCTGTCTCAAAAAAAAAAAAAAAAAATCCTCTTTTGTCAAAATAAGATTTGTAATACCTATATCGTAGGTTTTAATTTTGTATAATTGACAATTTCCATATGACTTGATCTAATAATACCATAACACAGATATCCAGCCAACTAAAATTCCTTCTTTCTGTTCAGGACAGTGATTAACTTGTAACTTTCTTAGGACCAACAGTAGCATTGCTTTCCCTGGGTGCTGTTTTTCTTTAGATTAAGGATATGAATGTGTTCAGAGCTCATTTGTTTTTATTTGGTGCGCTCAGTGGCACACATCTGTAATCCCAGCACTTTGGAAGGCCGAGGTGTGCGGATCACCTGAGGTCAGGAGTTAGAGACCAGCCTGGCCAACACAGTGAAACCCCGTCTCTACTAAAAGTACAAAAATTGGCCAGACATGGTGCTGCATGCCTGTAATCCCAGCTACTCAGAAGGCTGAAATAGGAGAATCACTTGAACCCTGGAGGCAGAGGTTGCAACGTGCCAATATCACACCATTGCACCCTAGTCTGGGTGACAGAGCAAGATTCCATCTCAAAAACAAAACAACAACAAAAAACTCCAAAATGTTTAATTTCTTTTTTCTCCTTTATTATTATTTTTTAAATCTTATAACACAAGGAGTAAATTTTTTAATCCCCAGAGTTTGAAGCAAATAATCCTTCTATTTGTGATAGGCTATTTTCTATTGATGCTGTTGAAATTCCTGATATTAACTATAATAAGAGAATGTTTCTCCCTTCTTACAGGCAATAGTTTGGGATGAATACCTAACTGGACCCTTTGGCCTGATTGCGCAGTATTCACTATTGAAGGTAAATGAGCTATTTGGGTTTTGTTAGGGGAATAATAATTCTGTACTTCAGCAGTTATGATAGGATTTTATATTTCTTCCTTAATCATTGCTTTGCAAAGCTGTTTGGTCTTTATAAACACTGATACTAGTGCCCGATTAACATGTTATATTCATTGGCCAGTGGTTCTGTACTGATCCTAGCATTATATTATGTGACCATTACCTGATGTTTTTGAGAGTTCATTATGTAAGAGTCATTTGGATGCTGCTGCAATAACAGTGGCTTTAGGGCCGGGCGTGGTGGCTCACACCTGTAATCCCAGCACTTTGGGAGACCGAGGCAGGTGGATTGCTTAAGGTCAGGATTTCAAGACCAGCCTGGCCAACGTGATAAAACCCCGTCTCCACTCAAAATACAAAAATTAGCTGGGCATGGTGGTGGACGCCTGTAATCCCAGCTACTCTGGAGGCTGAGGCAGGAGAATCACTGGAACCCGGGAGGTGGAGGTTGCAGTGAGCCTGCACTCCAGCCAGGGCAACCGAGTGAGACTCCCTCTCAAAAAAACAAAACAAACTAGTTTCTAAGGATTATGTCTGCGAGTCAGGATTCCCGATCCAGAGACAATGGCCCTGATGGGATGGAGCCCGAAGGCGTCATCGAGAGTAACTGGAATGAGATTGTTGACAGCTTTGATGACATGAACCTCTCGGAGTCCCTTCTCCATGGCATCTATGCCTATGGTTTTGAGAAGCCTTCTGCCAACCAGCAGCGAGCCATTCTACCTTGTATCAAGGGTTATGACGTGATCGCTCAAGCCCAATCTGGGACTGGGAAAACAGCCACATTTGCCATATCGATTCTGCAGCAGATTGAATTAGATCTAAAGGCCACCCAGGCCTTGGTCCTAGCACCCACTCGAGAATTGGCTCAGCAGATACAGAAGGTGGCCATGGCACTAGGAGACTACATGGGTGCCTCCTGTCACGCCTGTATTGGGGGCACCAGTGTTCGTGCTGAGGTGCAGAAACTGCAGATGGAAGCTCCCCACATCATCGTGGGAACCCCTGGCCGTGTGTCTGATATGCTTAACCGGGTATACCTGTCTCCCAAATACATCAAAATGTTTGTACTGGACGAAGCTGATGAAATGTTAAGCCGTGGATTCAAGGACCAGATCTATGACATATTCCAAAAGCTCAACAGCAACACCCAGGTAGCTTTACTGTCAGCTACAATGCCTTCTGATGTGCTTGAGGTGACCAAGAAGTTCATGAGGGACCCATTCAGATTCTTGTCAAGAAGGAAGAACTGACCTTGGAGTGTATCCACCAATTCTACATCAATGTGGAACGAGAGGAATGGAAGCTGGACACATGGTGTGACTTGTATGAAACCCTGACCATCACCCAGGCAGTCATCTTCATCAACACCCGAAGGAAGGTGGACTGGCTCACTGAGAAGATGCATGCTCGAGATTTCACTGTCTCTGCCATGCATGGAGATATGGACCAAAAGGAACGAGATGTGATCATGAGGGAGTTTCGATCTGGCTCTAGCAGAGTTTTGATTACCACAGACCTGCTGGCCAGAGGCATCAATGTGCAGCAGATTTCTTTAGTCATCACCTATGACCTTCCCACCAACAGGGAAAACTATATCCACAGAATTGGTCGAGGTGGACGGTTTGGCCGTAAGGGTGTGGCTATTAACATGGTGACAGAAGAAGACAAATGGACTCTTTGAGACATAGAGACCTTCTACAACACCTCCATTGAGGAAATGCCCCTCAATGTTGCTAACCTCAACTGAGGGGCTGTCCTGCCACCTAGCCCCAGCCTGAGTTCAGTCTTGGGGGGCTGAGGAGTAGCAGGAGGGGGGAGGGAAGGGAGCCAAGGGATGG